GGCACCCCTAGGTTGGTAAAGAGGAGAAAAGCAATAGACAACCCATACAATTCTATATCGGAATTGAATACAAACAATGATGAACTGGAGATGGAAATTTTAATTTCAAAAGTGATTGCGCCCCCTCAAACTCAGAAAGATGAAGAAATCGAAGCAGCCACTGCTATCTCTGCACCCCATAGACAACCATCGCCCAATAAGGGAGGTTAATGAAACATCAATTATTGTTTGGAACAGACCAGAAGGGAGTGCCAACAATGGTCACCAAAGGGAAGAGTATATAGGCCGAACCCATAATATGTGGAAGTATCGACATAATTTCATGGAGTCATTCGGTCTGAATGCTACATGAAGAACATAAGCCAGATGACGGAACGGGAAGACCTAGGATGTAGAAGATCGTAACATGAGTGATTCGGTAGATTTGGATTCTTATATTGGACAACGACTTTTGTGATCTCAATGAGGTTGGATCTTCTTTTTATTCTGATTTGGCTGCGGTTTATGGGTACAGAGTGAAGCAATCTCTCCTTAACACCATATTTTTGAGATATGGAGATATTGCTAAGGATTGCTCTTTTGTTGGTATTAGAACTCCTTCATCTCACCTGGAAAGAGTCTGTGAGATCATCCAGAAATTACAGGATACAGATTTCATATATATCACAGCTGCAGACCTCAAATCCATGCTTGATCATGTTCATGATCCGGAAAACGTAAAGCTGGAGGTTGGATGGTTGCATCAGAGGCCTGGATGACATATCCGAGGCCATGCATCTGTTCAAGGGCAATTCCACCCTAAAGGAGTCACAGAGAAGAAAAGTTCAAGTCATTGAGAAAAAAGAAGAAGAGGTAAAAAGCTTCAAGATGGAGATTTTATCTTTAAAGGAGAAAGTCCTTTTAGCAGAGGGTGAGCTGACTACAATGAGGGCTGAGGCAGAGAAGATAGATGCGAAAATCACCGAGACAAAGTCAAAAGTGAATTTTGAGTTGATGCATGGCCGCCTACTTTAGTTTATCTCCGCCGGATAGCTTTTGTGGTTTGTTTTCCTTACCAAAAAACAGAACTACTGTTGTTTGTTTTGAATGTCTTGCATGATAGATGTTTATTATAACTTATAGCTTAATAACCATTTAGGTCTAACAAATTATACTGTGATCAGAATCTTTTGCCCAGTATTAGCTGCTGATTGCATTTAGTAATGTGTGCTGTGATTGGAAACTAGAGTTTTCTATGGAATTAACTTCACACTCATGCTTTAAAGCTGTGAAACTTAATTGATGAACTTGCATGTAAAATTATGTCCATTGCAGTTGTTGCCTATTTTGCTTAATTTGCCATGTGCTTTGTTACAATCACCTAGAAATTACCAGGGGAAAATTAAAACAAGGAATGCTGATTGAATGAACTGTAACTGTAGTGGCTGTGTATGTATTTGTTGTTGGGTTGAGGGGATTGTCGGTATCATCTTGCTTCTTTCATCTTTCGTAGTTTGTTTGATGCATTCAAAGTTTCAAGATAATATAGCTTGTTTCTTTCCTCTTCTTTTGTGTGTTTGATGCATTAGATGTTCAAGATAATGTTAAACCGGTGGTATATATGGCATTATTTAGAATAATTCCGAGGCGCCAATTGTGTATTTCTTTAATGGAAGTGTTTGTGTGTGTGTTTTTTGAAAGGTAGTGGAAGTTTGTTTTATACAGATTCTTTTTTCCTTTTCATATCTCATGGAATAATACATATATGTTCATGAGGAATGTTGCGGACAATCATGGACCTCTTTTATTTTTATTTATTTTTTTGCCATGATAAGAAATTTACACGCCCACCTTTTGTCCTAATGAGACTCAAATAATCAACCTTCTACTTTTAAAGTTTAAGGAGATATTACTAGGCTACAACCCTCGATGGTACGCATCTATATTCGAGTCTTTGCAAAAATACGAAAAACCCTTCAATAGCTTCATTCTTACCCTGTGGCATTGTTACTAGTTTCTTTATACTCTTGTAAACCCTTTTCCACAAAAAAACCTAAATGATCATCATATGAAATAACTACTCTAATTGTCAAACTAAAAATGTTAGGCTGGTAATTTAAGGCATTTGCACTAGCTGACTCCTTTAAGTTCTAGAGTTACGCATGTTTTCAGATGTTGATGGCATTTAGTAGCCCAAACTGAATACCAATTGTGTTTGGATGACGAATGTTCTGTTCCCTATACAAGATCACCGTTATAAGTTTACTGTTTCTTATTTCGAACAGGTAAAGGGGAGAAGATTGCGCTTGCATAACCTGTAAGGTAAGGCTTCCGAAGGCATTCGTTTAGAGGATGAAAATGAAAATGTTGCCATTGTAACTCACTGGGAAGCTGCATTTCCATGGAATTGGCAGTCAGGCAACAAAGGAGTGCAAAATAAGTGAGCAGTGAAGTCGAAGATCGAGTATTTCATGTGACGTATGTTGTCTCCACGATCGTATTGCTGTTTTTTGAAGCTTCAGAATCCAGGAAGATAGTGGCAAGTAATATTTGCAAAATTTTGGAGAAGAACCAGAATCTATAACTCATTTGTTTTGTTGCTGCACTCGGTCTGTCATGGGGTGAAAATTCTCGGTGTTGAGGAGGCTTTGATCATGACAGTAGGAGATGCATTTGGGATGCCGGCGTGTTGATGGAGAGGTGTGGTGCTTTGAGACCACATGGGGATAGTCTTGAAAGCTTTTGGTTTTTGCATCAGACATTTATCTTAACCCTTCTTTGGCTGAGGTATTGGTGTTGAGAATATCTTTGCTTCAGGTCATTGAATGGGGTTACCATACATTGCATGTTGAGACTGTTTTTAAGTCCATCCACAATGTTAGTGATTGTCCTATACTCTTAAAAACTGTGGTGACGGAAATACACAAACTAATGCCTTCAGCGAGCCTCGAACACCCGACATTCCCTTTGAGGAGGAGGGCTTGTATCTAGGCTATTGCCCATTTGACAAGGATTATGCATCTTTGCTTAGGCATCATGATGTTGCCCATTGATTTGTTCCGAGAGAAATAAATGAAGTAGCTCATCTCCTTGCTGCTTGGGCTTTGAATTCCAATCAAGAGTTTCAATTTTAGAATGTTGATGAACTTCCTGGGCAAGAGAGAGTGATTTGATGTAGTTCTTTGAGCTTTATTTATTGATTCTACTTTCTTGCCATGAAAAAAAAAAAAAAAAATTTGATGCCTTTTATTTTATGCTTTCTGAAAAATTATAGTTTAGCTGAGGGAGTTATTTTTCAAAAATGGTAAGATTGTTCTATTGTGACCTAAAGATCAAAGGTTAAAATCATGAAAACAGTCTTTTTGTGTGGCGAATTATATCGGACTCTTTTCAGGTCTCCTAATGTCTTGGCCTTATGATCAAACTTAAATAATTGTAATAAAATGAGTCACGTCAATGATTTAAGCGATAAATTTGAGTCTAAAGTGTAATTATCACTTTTTTAAATCTTGCTCTTGTGATGGATTATTGCTTTTTAGCTTGCCAGAAGTAAAATGTTTTCGTTTTATTTGTTATATAGAATGTGCAAATAGTCTCTCCCATTCAAAAAAATTACTATATTTTTTAAATTGAGCAAATAAAGACAATTTATCAATTTAATGATTGAAATGTTTAAAATACTCTCACAACAAAATAAAAATAAATAAATAAATAAGCAAAATGACCAAAAGACATTTCCTTAAACTGATTTGTGAGGGTACTGTGGTCATTTGAAAAGGGCATTTTGGAGTTTTAGGACAACTTCTTCTTCTTTTTTTTGTCAAAATTGGTATACAAATTTTCAAATGTTGATAATTTATATACACATGCTAATGATTGAAATGTTTAAAATACTCTCACAGGTGTTTTATTATTATTATTATTTATACACATTTTTTGATATCGCAACGTTTTTGCACTTTTTTCTCTATTACTTACCTTGCAACTGTATGAATAATTCAATTTTTGTAAGTTCTTTGTTGTGGCTGATTTGTGACGGGGTATTGTGGTCGTATAACACTCTTATTTCAGCTTTTTATATATTCACGATGACAGGCGTAAAATACCACTAACATGGTAATAGCTGTCAAACCATCAGAAGACCGAGTTTTGCAACAGCTTCATAAATAAGCACTCTGGTGAGAGAGACACACACACCGAGAGTGAGTGAGACAGAGAGAGAGAGAGAGGAATGGAAAGGAAAGGGAAAGGAAGTAAAAGAATAGAAGAAGATCAAACAGAAGGTTAACAGAAGCCTAACCTTTCATCTTCTAAGGTAACCCATTTCTGTGTGTGTGTGTGTGTTTGTTTGGTTCAGTGAAAAATATGATTCAATGGGGTAGAAAATGCTCTGATAGGAAGAGGGTTTCTTCATATTATGTATAAAAATATATATGTATGTATGTGTCTGTATGTTATATGTCAAATACAGACACATATATGGTAATATGAACCGGATAGTTAATTTTCCGGAAAAAAAAAAGAAAAAAAAAAAAGAAAAAAAAAAAAACCAGATAGTTGAGAAGGGTTGTGAAAAAAATCATAGTTAAAGGGTTGTGAAAGCTTGATATGCATTGGTAGAATCATCTTGCTTCTTTCATCTTTCTTCGTTCGCTTGATATCTGTTTGATGTATGTTCTCAATGGTATACCCTCAAATTCGCCATGAATCTTCAGAATATATGTTACAAATTTTCTCCTCTTTAATATGGGTTTTGTTCATAAAACGCCTTTTCATTATGTGTTTAATTCGAGATTACACCACTGTTACTTAGAATTTACACTTCAAAGCTGCATCACTTTTAGTTCCAAACTGTACCACTTCTAATTTGAGTTTGTGATTAGTTTTAGTTCTAGACTACACCATTTATATTTCAAGTATGCTCCACTTTTACATTGAGTTTACACTCTTTTTTATTCAATTTTGTGACTTTTTTGACTTCTAATTCGTACCACTGATACTTAGATTGTCTTACCAGTTTTGTTCCATAGGTTGCTGTATCAATTTCAATGGCAAGAGGAAGGGTACTAAAACGGAGATGGTACATTTCTCCTTCATATTCGAGTAGTGATGGAGAGGAATATGTTACTGGAGATGTTCCCTCCAAACACTGGAAACAAATGAGTGACGATGAGAAGGAGCCTTGTGAGGCAGCCTGCTCGAAAGAATGGGAAATGTTCAGGCAGCATGGTACTGGTACCTTGAAAAAAAAGGTAATGTTTTATTAGATACCACAAAGTATCATTCAATTTGGTTATTATCTCTTACATTAATTCATTGACATTGTTAACTTTCATTTTGTTATTATTAAGGCGGTGAAGTACAGGTTTCATAGGTCTGCACCATCTAAGTTCATTGAAGTCATATCCAAATTCGACGAGAAGAAGAGGAGGGCAGTTCAAGAGATTGGATTTGGCAATCTGTTGGAGTTGAAATGCTCCTATTTCAACCGCGATCTTTGCCTCAATCTCATTGCTCAATTTGACTGTAGCTCGTGTAGGCTTAGAGTTGGTGATGAGAAATTTATTCCCATCTCTACACTTGATATTGAGTCCATACTAGGAATACCCCGTACTCAATTACCAGTGCCTACAAGCATTCCTAGCGGTGCTTCGTGGATAAAAGATGGAGGATTTCGTCAAAAAAATGGACTACAGGTCTCTACTTTAGCTGATAAGCTTTTGAAACTTGACGCCGGGGATGAGTTCAAGCGAACATTTGTGCTTTTCACATGCGGAGCCATACTTTCCCCCAATGCCTGCTATTCGGCCAATTCAACGTTGCTCAAAGCTGTGGACAGGGTGGAACAGATCAGCACTTATAACTGGTGCTTGTATGTCCTCAATTTTTTGGTGAAATCTATCCAGACCTTTTCTGACGGTGCAAAGCGTTGTACTGGTTGTCTTATTTTTTTACAGGTATGAGTCTTTAATATTATGAAAATTTAAATTTCTTTAACTTGTTTCTCATTTGTTTGTTACAATGAAATGTAGTTCCTTTATTTGATGCGAGTTGATGTAAAATGCCCCTCTCCTAAGGAAGATGTCCTATCTATTGGTGTTTGGACTGACATGGTCATCAAAGCCCGTATCAGATTTGAAAAAGAGGAGCTAGGAGGTTTTGGACGCTGCCAGGTAACATGTTATGACATCTTGAATTAGATGCTATTATGTGTTGATAAATAAACACACGTATTGTGTAAATGAGAATATGAATATGTACTAAACTTACAGACACTGAGTATGTAATATTTTGTGAAATATTATTTTTGCCGTTAACGTTAATAGAGCAAAAGGTTTGCACTAAAATGTCCCAAAATGATATTATTTTGGAAGCACTGGGGAGTACCAACAGCTCCTTTGTACTAGAGAGGATTTTAGTCCATATGTATGTGTTTGTGATTGTGCGAGCATGATCCTGCTATGTGTGATAAGAAAATGCTCTCAAAGAAAAAGGTTATCTTCTATATTGTTTCTGTTCCAGAACACAGTTTCGTTTTAGTTCCTTTTATTCCAAGAAAATACCTCAAACCCTTTCGAGAAACATAGCTAAACTTTCTCTGAGGTTCAAAGAATAAAACCACCAATATGAAGCCACAGCTGCTAATGTTCTTTTCTACTGAGCTAGATATGAACTGAATATTGATTACCTACTTAACATGACCAGACCACCGCTATCTGCTGCTGACACTTACTGAAACAGAAAGTAGATCACCCACTATAATCAGCAGTTCCAATCATAAAACCCACACAGACCATCCTATATTCCATCTCTATTTACCTATGCATGTACATTTGTGTGTTTATTTTGTCTGTTATGTTAAAAAATACATAAATTTTCCTCTGCTCAATGTGCTTCTACATAACTCTTGACCCGACAATTCCCCTCCTCTGCCAGTGTCTCTCTCTATCTCTTTCTTTCGAAAAAGGCATTTAAGGTCTAAAGTGAAAGCCCCCATCATTTTCAAGGAACATTGCAAAAATAAATAAAAAATTGAAATTATAAAAAAGATTCCTATTTTGTTATGCTGCAAGGAGAAAATTTTGATTTTTTATTCACAGAAATGGAGTAGAATTATGATCTGGTCCTTGATTATGTTACTAATATTGTATTTCTTAGATTCAGTTTGAACCACAGTTCCACACTTATGATTAAACCATAACATACTTACCTATATATGCCAAACAAAAAAGGTTTTCTGTGTGTATATGTGCCAGAGGAGGATGGGGGAATTTAATATAATATGATGTACCCTAATTGTACTGAACTTTAATCTCTACTCTTTGAAGGATCCGTCTTGCTAAGCTCAACTCATTGTCCGAAATTGTTGAACACTTGAACTACATAGTTAATTGGCAAATCACAGTTGCCAACTTGGCATCTGTTAATGTACAACCATATCTATGCCTATGGAATTGAATAGTGTAACTGCTAAGTGTTTCTCACTATAGCTGTGTGTACAGAATTGAATTGTGTATATATTACAAACTGCTTATGAAATTCAACAAGTTAAAATTCCTTCATTGTTTTATAGAAGCTTTTACAGTTATATGTAATTGCTTATTTATTGGTATTGTTTGTGTAGTACTCTTTCAACGGCATATATTCACCCATTCCGTTTCACGCAACTCGACGTGCTAATGTGGATCTTGAAATGGATATTTTGAGTCCAGCAACCAGGGTTATTCCAATCTCAGAGAAGATTACTTCAGAACTCGCCCCTGAGACTCAGGTATAAAGAAAAACATTGCCCAACTGTCTTTCCTTTGGCAAATCTTTTGGTTGTATTTGACATAATCCATTATATTAAGATATAAATTCTTACTGATTACTAGGCACACGGTAGGAATTTATTTATTCTTGTCAATTTATGTTTGCTTTTCATTCACCTCATCTTGGGCTGATCATGTTACAGAAACAAGTTTGTTGTAGGATAAGGAATTTATATGGGTTAAGAGTCTTCATATATATATATCAATCAGTCTATGTATTGGTATTGCCCGTACAGGTGTCTACTTCTCCAGCTGCCTCCTTGATCTATCCAGGTCAACTTGAAAAGACAAACTCCACTGGCTCCCCTAGGTTGACAAAGGGGAGAAAAGCAAGCGATGTCATCAACAATTCTATATCAGAATCGGATACAAGCAATGATGAAGTGGAGTTGGAAAATTTAATTTCGAAAGTGATCGCCCCTCAAACTGAGAAAGATGAAGAAATCGAACCAGCTGCTGCTCTCTCTGCATCAAATAAGGCTGTGTTTGACAACCCTCGGCCAATAAGGAGGGCTAATGAAGCATCAAATATTGTTGGGAGCAGACCAGAAGGGAGTGCCAACATTGGTAACCAAAGGGAAGAGCATCCAGGCCAAACTTTTAGTCGTAACCCATCAGGAATGGCTGAAATGTTGGATGACAACTCTTCTGATCTCAATGAGGTTGGATCTTCTCTGTATCCTGCTTTGGTCACGGTTAATGGGTACAGAGTGAAGCCTGAATGGGTACCTCTCCTTAAAGCCATATGTTTAAAACATGGAGATATTGCTAAAAATTGCTCTTTGCTGAGTGTTACATCTCGTTCATCTCTCCTGGAGATAGTCTGTGACATCGTGCAGAAATCACAGGATACAGAATTCAGGCGAATCACACATGTTGATCTTGAATCCATGCTTGATCAAGTTCGTGATCTGGAAACTGTTAACATGGAAGTTGGATGGCTGCATCAGTGGCTGGATAAAATTTTTGATGCCATGCCGCTTTTCAAGGGCTATAGCACCCTAAAGAAGGAGATTCTAGCTTTACAACAGAAGATTCTAACTTTAAAGGAGAATGTCCTTTTAGCAGAGAATCAGCTCGCTCCAATGAAGGCTGAGGCTGAGAAGATTGATGAGAAAGTCTCAGAGACAAATGCAAAACTGAAATGTTTTTATCAAAAGTCTGTGGTGGATGGCCTAGTTTAGCTTAATCTCTGCCTGATAACTTTTGTGGATTGTTTTACTTGTCAAAAAACAAAACTTCTATGGTTTTTTTGAATGTCTTCCAAGATAGATGTTTATTATAGCTTATAGCTTAAGAACCATTTAGGCCTAACTAATTATACTATATGTTTGCTTCCACACAGTTGATGTTCTGATTGGTATCTTCTTCTTCTTCTTTTTTTTTTTGGTGTGTGCGTGTGTGAAATATTAGCTGCTGATTGCATTTAGGCTATGTGTGCTGTGATTGGAAACGAAAGTTTTCTATGGAATTAAGTTCAAACTCATGGTTTAAAGCTGTGAAACTTAATTGATGAACTTGTAAAATATATCCCTTGTAGATGTTGGCCTATATTGCTTGATTTGCTGTGTGTTTTTTGACAATCAGCTATGTGTATGTATTTGTTGTTGGGTTGAGGGGATTGTTGTTGGAATACTCATTAGTCTTCTGTTGTTAGAATCATCTTGCTTCTTTCATCTTTCTTCATTTGTTTGATACGTTCAAAGTTCGAAGATAATGTAGCTTGTTTCTTTCCTCTTCTTTTGTGTTTGATGCATGTGATGTTCAATATAATGTTAAACTTGTGGTATATATTGTATTATTTAGAATAATTCTGAGGCACAATAAATACATTTTGTCACTTTTGTGCTAATGTTGGCAACTTCTAGTTGGCGCCAATAGTGTATTTTCTTTAATGGAAGTGTGTTTATACATGCATAAATAAATAACTATCTTTAAATTTATACAAGCATAGAAAATGTTCAACCTTAACTTAATTCAAATCAGACCAACAAACCGAGCCCAACCCATCTTGTACCTTTAAACTTAGGTTGAAATTTTGGATTAGAAAGTTAGGTTAGTTTGGTTCATGAATACATATTTCATACTTTGGCTTAGATTTTGGAAGAAATTATGAGGTGTATTGTGGTGCATGAATATATATGTATATATAATATATTGCGTATAATCGGGTTCACAAATCGTGTTGCTCGGATTAGCTGATTCGGGACAAGTTTGGGTTGCGAAACACAAAAACCCAAGCCCATACTGAAATGAATTTAGGTTCTCCTTTTTAAGCCAAGTTCAAATCGAATTCCAAATAACATGGCCTAAGCCCAAAAAAATTGAGTTGGATTAGGGTTGGCCCAGGTTAGCCACATTACAGTTTGATGCTTGAGTTGCAAGATTACAGTCTGATGTATTGAATCCACTTTCTTGTCTTGAAAATAAATAAATAAAAATCTATGGCATTTATTTTATATTTCCTCAAAGATTAGACTTTAGTTATCAAGCTTAAAATAGTTGTAGTAAAGTGATTAAGGTCAATGATTTAAGTGACATTTGTCAAAAAAAAAAAAAAAATCTCTATTTTTCAGTGACCACAATGCCTAAACAACAATTATTTTCTTACTCTTGTCATTAAAATGTAATTGTCAAACTTTTTAATCACTCTTTTGATGATCATTTCATTTTAGCTTGCCACATCACTTAAGACCCTTTGTTTTTTTTCCTCATTTTATCTTTCTCATTCTTGTAATTCATTTCTCCATCAGTTCTTTCTTGTAACACCAATAACACCATGTTAGCTTCTTACATTGAAAAAAAAAAAAAAAAGGTCATTTTATTAGATATTGCCATGGGATAACTCGGACCCACCATTTGTGGGTCACCTCTTATGTGCCAGGTAGGAAACTATTTCATAAAAATAAAAAAATAAAAAAATAAGAGAGATGTTAATAGTTATCAAACCAAGAGAAAACTGACTTTTACACAAAAAGGTTTAAAACGCAATTGAGCTTCAGTAAATGAGCACTCTAGAAATAGAAGGTGGCAGAGGGAAGTGAGAGAAAGTGTAGTTGATTCAAAACCAAAAGAGAGGTAGGGAGAGAAAATCTCTGCCAATTTCTCTACCCCGGACAGTGAGAAGTTTAGAGAGAGAGAGAGAGAGGGAGGGGGGGGGGGAGGGGGGGTGGTATAGAGAGAGAATCTGCCATTATCTAAAGACCAGGGGAGGGAGAAGGTGGGAGAGAGAGATGGGTCTGTGATTCAAAACGAAAAGAGAGGTAGAGAGAGAGAAAGAGAGAACTCAAGAAAAGAGAGCAATGGTTGGGAAAGGAACAATAATAAAAAGAAAAGAAACAAAAACAGGGTGGCAAGTAGAGTCCGGCCATCAGATGTCATCTAATCAGGTAACCCCTCTCTCTCTCTCTCTCTGTGCGAGTGTGTGTGTGTTTTTTCAGTGAAAAGTATGACCCAATGGAGTAGAAAATGCTATGATATGAATAGGGTTTTTCATATTATGTGTGTGTTTTCATGTGTTTCTTTCAGTGAAAAATATGAGCCACTGGAGTAGAAAATGCTCAGATTGGAACACGATTTCTTCATATTGTGCGTGCGTGTGTGTAGGTGATAAGCTCATCCTTGAAACGGACGCCTCAGATTTATGTCGGGGATGCGTCATTTTCAAAACCTTTTCTATATTAGGATCATCAATGGAAACAAAGTAATTTGGTTTTAGTTTAAACCAAATAACATTGTATCAGCGCAAAAAAAACAGGGCCAAAAAGGCACACAATAAAATGTTATAGAATCGGTGGAATCTTACCAAACGAACCAGATAGTTGAAATTAAAGACTTTGTTTAGTTGAGTTGGGTACACATATAATCTGGTACAACACATTGTGCAGTAAATTGATTGCTTGCCTATCTATGTGATTGCCTATCTATGTGACATTGTGAAGTTGTGATGTTAATGTTATTTTCTGGTTATTTTCCTTAAAATGCTTAAATGTGACACACATTGCACACAAGGGGAAAAAAAAATTCATAGTTAAAACGTTGTGAAAGCTTGATATGCATAGTTGCACTCATTTCTTTTTGGACCAATTTGGTACAATGGAAATGGAAGGGAAAGAAAAGAATGGTAATGGAAGGAGATGAAAAATTGTGTTTGGTATAAAATGTTGGAAGGAAAAGAAAGTAATAGGAAGGATTTGGAAGGATACAATAAGGCATGAATAGTAGCTTTTGTTATCATCCCAAAAATGAGAGGAAATTGAAGGAAATGCTAGTATTTTTAATGAAATTTTATTAATACCAAATTTGCCCTTATTTTTGTAAAAGACAAAATCTATAAGAAAGGGTATGATTGTAAATTATTAAAATAGTTTCATTTTCTTTCTTTCTCCAAACATGATTACTATCATTTCCTTTCTCCGACCGAACATGATTACTATCATTTTCTTTCATTAATCAACCAAACATGTTAAGAACTAAACACTATCCTCTCCTTTCCTTTCATTTCTTTTTTCTCCTAACTAATGTTATTATTTTCTTTTCTTAACCTTTCAAGCCGTGGTAGTTTAACATGGTATTAGGGATTTGCTTTTGGGAAGTTGTGTAAATTTGTGATCTTGATGTCATTTTCTGATTATTTTCCTAAATTTACTCACATGTGATACACAAAAAAGATAAGGCATTGGTTGTTTAACATGGTATTTGGGATTTGCTTTTGGGAAGTAGTGAATTTGTGATGTTGATTTTTTTTTGGCTATTTTCTTAAATGTGCTTACACGTGACACACATTGCACACACGGAAAAAAAAAAAAATTATAGTTAAAGGGTTGTGAAAGCTTGATATGCATTGTTGTGCTCATTTAATGTCTTAAACTTTCAAGGGAGTGGTAGTTAAACATGGTATTAGGGATTTGCTTTTGGAAAGTTATGTAAATTTGTGATGTTGATGTTATTTTCTGGTTATTTTCCTAAATTTGCTTACATGTGACACACATTGCACATTGAAAAAATCACAGTTAAAGGGTTGTGAAAAATCATAGTGATGTTGATGGAGGTGACAGTTTTTTGTGGTGGTTTGGACATATTAGCAGAGTTTGTTGGTGGTGATATTGGTGGTTGAGGGTGTGAATGATGGGGGGAGAATTGAATCTGGTCCTAAATAAGTTGGCGAGTTGATGGTGGTCTTGTTGGTGGTTAAATGGAGATGAGGGTTCAGTGGTGGTGATATTTGTGGACTGGTGGACAATGGTGCTTTGCTGGTGGGGTATTTTGGTGGCAGTGGATCTGAACTAATAGTGATGATGGGTGGGGTGGAGGGTTAATGGTTGTGTATGCTTGTTGCTTAATCATGTGGTGAGCATGGATTTGGGTCAATGGTGATGTAGTTGATGGTTCACAGTGGAGGTGGTTGTGGAAAGCAGGTTTTCTTGGTAATAAAAATACACATGCATAATAGACTGACACTTCTATTGCTTTATGCACCTTTTTTTATTTTTTTCTCTTTTGGTTGAGTATGTGTGCATGAGCAGCAATGAAAGAAGCCTATAAGCTATTAGACGCCAGCAAAGTATAATAACACGAAATAAAGTAAAAATAAAGATCCACAATACCAAAAATTAAAAAGAATGAGAAAGAAAAAGGTGACACATTTAGCATTCCTTGCATCCTAGATAAACGGATAGATGGATGGATGGATGTGCAACTGTGATTCAGGCTCTCCAAGATCTGAACTGCTGAGAGCAAGGGGGAGATAAGGGTGAATTTCTGTTTCAAAAGTACAATTTTCATTAAAGTTGTTATTAAATTTTGTAAAAGCATGCATCCTGTTTGTGTTAGTAGAGGATGCCAATGTCATTCTAAAAACCTTATATGAGGTCCCCGTTATTGTCACAACCTGTGTGGATGTCGATATATTTTATCCTAGTTTAAAGTATCAGTTTTGTACTGTGAAACCATGAGATTTCAGTTGTGGATTACTTGTCAAAAAAAAAAAAAGAGATTTCAAGTTGTGGATTGAACTAACATTATAGGAACCCTAGTTCGATGGCCAGGAAAATTCATTTGCAGAAAGTCGAAATATGATCAAGACACTGGCATTTCAACATTTTTAATCAAATTTTCATGCAATTAACAGTAAAACAAGAAGAATGGAAATTAAAAATGATTAACAGAAAATTTTGTTTTTTTTCCCAGCTCAATATTTAGGTTGGGATCTGTGATATTGATGGTCTTCCAAAGAAACTTGATTGCAAACTATATAGAGTTGCTGACTTATTTATGATATGCATATGTTTTTTAGTTTTAAGACTGTTTTTAACCTCCCTGAGTAAAACTAGTATCATTTAGTGCAATGGGTTGTCCCAAAGTTCTTAAATAAACAAATATAGAGTCCAACTTAAAGCCCAACTTATTAAATACATCTTTGATTTATAAATCAACCTTGAATTTGGTTGGAAAGTAACTTTTTTCATATGATATTTATTTAAACATTTATTGTAGATATCAATATTAGTGCATGGAAGAACCCAGCTTTACTTGAGTTAAGGGTGTAACACAACTTGCGTTAGGCTTGTAATGTCTGGTACATAAAACAAGTTCCAATTGAGGTTCAGATTCATCAACAAGCCTCGACATTTCTTTCTTCTATAGATTTTG